CCCCAACACCCCAACACCCCAACAACACCCCCAACAACACCAACACCCCCAACAACACCCCCAACAACACCCCCAAACCTCTCCAACACCCCCATCCCCAAAAAAAACCCTCGGGAATACACCCAAATCCCGGGAAAACGCATCAGGGAACGGCCACCTTGAGTCTGGATGGGGTTGAAGAAGGGGAATTTGTCCTGGTAGAGGCTCTCGAAGGAGCTGTTCCGAAGAGCCGACACCGGCAGCGGTTGCAGGTCCAGCAGCTCCGTGGGAGGAGGGTATTTTTCCGGAAGGATCAGGTGTCGGAATGACACGGGGAGTTGGGTCTCACAGGCTGGATGAAAGATGGGAAAGAATTCCAGGATTTTAGGGATGGGTGAAGAGAGGCGGGGGTGGAAAAAGGGGGATGGAAAATGGATTTTAGATGTTTGGGAAAGGGAAAAACGCGGAATTTCAAAGCTCTGGAAAAGGGGAGAAAGCAGGGATCCCAAATTTCTGCTGCCACTTGGATTCCTGGAATTATTTCCTTGGATTCCAGAGGATTTTCCCCAAAAAAAAGGGAGGATAAACCCAGGATCCCAAAGATCTGCCACAACTTGGATTCCCTGAAGTTTCCCTTGGATTCCCTGAAGTTTTTCCCTGGATTCCAGAGGATTTTCCCCCAAGAAAAGTGGGATAAACCCAAAATCCCAAATTTCTGCTGCCACTTGGATTCCTGGAATTATTTCCTTTGATTCCAGAGGATTTTTCCCCAAGAAAAGTGGGATAAACCCAGAATTCCAAACCCCTGGAAATAGGGGAGAGAGCAGGGATCCCAAATCCCCATTGTCATTTGGATTCCTGGAATTTTTCCCTGGATTCCAGAGGATTTTCCCCCCAAAGAAAATAGGGATAAACCCAAAATCCCAAATTTCTGCTGCCACTTGGATTCCTGGAATTATTTCCCTGGATTCCAGAGGATTTTCTCCCCAAAAAAGGGAGGATAAACCCAGGATCCCAAATCCCAATTGTCACTTGGATTCCTGGAATTTTTTCCTTGGATTCCAGAGGATTTTTCCCCTGGGAAAAGAGAGGTTATAAACCACATTTCCCCCAAAAAACTGGAAAAGGGGCACTCAAAGAGCCATAAAATCCAGAATAAAACCCAGGAAAAATCAGGAAAAAAACCCAAGAAAAACCAGGAATAAAAACCAATAAAAACCCGGAATAAAACCCAACAAAAACCAGGAATAAAAACCAAGAAAACGCAGGAATAACCCCCAGGAAGGGACACTCACAGAGCCATAAAATCCAGAATAAAACCCAAGAAAAACCAGGAATAAAAACCAATAAAAACCAGGAATAAAAACCAATAAAAACCCGGAATAAAACCCAATAAAAACCAGGAATAAAAACCAAGAAAAACCCGGAATAAAAACCAATAAAAACCAGGAATAAAAACCAATAAAAACCAGGAATTAAATCCAAGAAAAAGCAGGAATAACCCCCGGGAAGGGACACTCACAGAGCCATAAAATCCAGAATAAAACCCAGGAAAAACTGGGAATAAAAACCAATAAAAACAGGGAATAAAAACCAAGAAAAACCAGGAATAAAAACCAAGAAAAACCAATAAAAACCAATAAAAACCAGGAATAAAAACCAATAAAAACCCGGAATAAAACCCAATAAAAACCAGGAATAAAATCCAAGAAAAAGCAGGAATAACCCCCGGGAAGGGGCACTCACAGAGCCATAAAATCCAGAATAAAACCCAATAAAAACCAGGAATAAAAACCTAAAAAAAACAGGAATAAAAACCAATAAAAACCAGGAATAAAAACCAAGAAAAACCCGGAATAAAAACCAATAAAAAGCAGGAATAAAAACCAATAAAAACCAGGAATTAAATCCAAGAAAAAGCAGGAATAACCCCCGGGAAGGGGCACTCACAGAGCCATAAAATCCAGAATAAAACCCAAGAAAAACCGGGAATAAAACCCAAGAAAAACCAGAAATAAAAACCAAGAAAAACCCGGAATAAAGCCTAAAAAAACCAGGAATAAAAACCAAGAAAAACCCAGAATAAAAACCAATAAAAACCTGGAATAAAACCCAATAAAAACCAGGAATAAAATCCAAGAAAAAGCAGGAATAACCCCCGGGAAGGGGCACTCACAGAGCCATAAAATCCAGAATAAAACCCAGGAAAAACCGGGAATAAAAACTAATAAAAACAGGGAATAAAAACCAAGAAAAACCAGGAATAAAAACCAAGAAAAACCCGGAATAAAAACCAATAAAAACCAGGAATAAAACCCAATAAAAACCAGGAATAAAACCCAATAAAAACCAAGAATAAAATCCAAGAAAAAGCAGGAATAACCCCCGGGAAGGGGCACTCACAGAGCCATAAAATCCAGAATAAAACCCAGGAAAAACTGGGAATAAAGCCCAATAAAAACCCAGAATAAAGCCTAAAAAAAACAGGAATAAAAACCAATAAAAACCAGAAATAAAAACCAAGAAAACGCAGGAATAACCCCCAGGAAGGGACACTCACAGAGCCATAAAATCCAGAATAAAACCCAGGAAAAATCAGGAATAAAACCAATAAAAACCAGAAATAAAACCCAATAAAAACCAGGAATAAAAACCAATAAAAACCAGGAATAAAATCCAAGAAAAAGCAGGAATAACCCCCAGGAAGGGGCACTCACAGAGCCAGCGGTCGGACACCACGCGGATGAAATACTGCGGCGGCAGCGGCTCGAAGACGGGAACGAAGAACGTCACCAGATGCTCATCCTGGGCATATTTGGCTTTGAGCAGGAAATATTCGTGGTGCAAGATCACCTCACTGTCCACATCCTCCACCAGGATCCAAAAAGCCTCGGAAGAGCCGTGAACCTGGAAAAAAAAAAGGATGGAATTTCTCAATTTTTTATCCCAACCCTCATAATTCCAGGTTTTTCCAGCTCCTTTTCATCCCAAGGTTGGGTTTTTCCTCGTGATTTTTACGCTGGAGTTCAGATTTTCTGGTTTTCCATAAATCAGGGAATTTTCCCCTTTTCGTTTTCACATCCTGCATTCAGAATTTTCTGGTTTTCCCGCATGGTTTTCACAATCCAGCCTCAAAATTCCATCTTTTCCTTCCAATCTGGGAATTTCCCCTCATGATTTCCACACCTCAGCCCAGTAAATCCCCACCCAGATCATTTATCCTGCATTTTTCCACCCCCCCATCTCCAGAATTCCCCGTTTTCCCTCACGATTTCCCACCCCATTCCCAAAATTCCCCATTTTCCCACCCCATTCCCAAAATTCCCCTCACAATTTCCAACATTCCCAAAATTCCCCTCACAATTCCCACTCCCATTCCCCAAATCCCCCATTTCCCCTTACAATTCCCCAAAATTCCCCATTTTCCCCTCACAATTCCCACTCCAATTCCCAGAATCCCCAATTTCCCCTCACAATTTCCACCTCCAATTCCCAAAATCCCCCATTTCCCCTCACAATTCCCACTCCCATTCCCCAAATTCCCAATTTTCCCTCACGATTTCCAATCCCAATTCCCAAAATTCCGAATTTCCCCTCACGATTTTCACCTCCCATTCCCAGAATCCTCCATTTTCCCCTCACAATTCCCACTCC